GACCCCAAAACAATCCCCGAAAAAAAAAAAAAAAAAAAAAAAAAAAAAAAAGCCAAACACTATGAAGCAGAACAGGAAGAGAGGTTTGTCATACATAGTAAAAGGCAGTTTTCTTCTGATTTCTATTATTTCCCCTGCACAGGAGTAGGGAGACTACATGTCATAGATGGAAGCCCGGGCCCAGCAAGAGGAGGCCCTGCTCAGCCGCCACACACAGCCAGGCCAGGGACTGGGCAGGGCTGGGAAGCATGGCAAGGCAGAGCCCAGTCGAGACAGGCATGAGACAGAAGGGGTGAGGCTGTGGTGGTGGCTGTGCACCAGCGTGGTCACTGTGGAGGCCGAGATTTGTGGCACTACCTGTCTCACATCGAGGTCCCTCGAAGGGCTCTGCACACACGCAGCTGTAGTTCCCCACCAGGTCCACACAGGCGCCTCCGTTTAGGCATGGGTTGGAGCTACACTCGTCCACATCTGGGGCAGCAGAGGCAGGGGCTGGGTGGGAGCCAGGCTCTGATCCCTGTCACCTGCTCCCCAGCACCAGTCCTTTGGGTGGCTACTCACCTGTCTCACAGGCAGTCCCTGTGTACCCAGCCAGACACACGCACACTGCAGAGCTGCTCTCGGCCTGGCACTGGCCGCCATTCTGACACCCTCTGTCATCACATGGAGACTGGGCTGCAAGTGAGGAGGAGTGGGCAGAACGCTGCACTCCCAGCTGTGGCTGTCGGGTGGCAGAAGCCCTTGGGTACACCTGTTGAGCCCCACCCAGGCCCACCTGGGCTTACTGCCCAGGTGGAATTGGCTGTCTGTAGAGCAGCAGATGGGGAGGGGACCATGTGAATTGGGTCTAATTCCATCAAAGCAGTGTAGAGGGAGGCGGGTGGGGTTGCTGGAACACAGTTCTTGCCCTATGCAGGTGGATTGGAGATGCAGAACAGAACCGGAACCAGGCCCCTGCTCCCGGCCAAGCATCCTGGAGGGCCTTCTGGAAGGCAGAGCAGCCCCAACAACATAGGGTTCCTGTCTGCCCCACGGCCATCCTTGGGCTCACTCCCCACAGGCCCTGTGTCCTCCCTGGCCAGCACTGCACAGCAAGCACCTGATGAGCGGGAGGTGGGGACCCCAGGCCCTCCCTGTGTGTCACACCAGGGATACTCTGTCCCCACAGGCTCACAGAGGGATCTGGGGGCTGGGAGGGCCGGGTGTTTGCCTGAAGAGCTCTCTGGAATGTGTTTTGCCCTCTGTCCCTTCCCGCGCTGGCTAACCTGGTGAGGGGTCCCCAAGTCCATTGACACTGTGATCTTTAAACACTACAAAGGAGTCCTGATAGATGGACATTCTGCTTTCCCCTCTGCACCTTGAAGTCATATTCCCATTCTGTTGCTTCTGCAGAATTTCATCTTAGTGCCCTTCCATGTGCAGACCTTCACTGCCATTCCACTGCAGTTCTTGCCAGTAAACATATGTGTCTGCACTGAAGTTAGACTTAGCTTCCTTTGGCCCTGAGTCTCCCATAGAAAATATTTTTCTAGCCAGATGTTGATATGGCTGCTACATGAACACACCTGATGTACACAGTCTGTCACTGTACACATTTTTAATGAAATGAGTGTTACACGTTGGTCAGAGCACTCAGGATGCGTGTCTGGCTGTGCTTGGGAGTGGCAGTCACAGGGACGAGGCTCCCTTGGCCCTGCTCCCTGCGCAGCAACTCCTGGTGAGGCTGTGGGCTGGGGTGGGGTGCCTTTCCTCACCAGGTGGGTGAGGGCTGGGGGAGGGGCTGAAGGGCAGGTAAATGGTGCTGTGCCTCCTGGCAGCCACTTAAAAGGGGCTGTGGAGTCACAAGACCAGCAGCATTTTGGTAGCACAGTGAAGTGACCCAGATGAGGAGAGTAGGGGTATGGGGCACAATACCCTGTCCTTGGAGCAGCTGAGCAGGGAGTTGCAGGAGTGTGTGCAGACATGGTTGTGCTTGTCCACCCTCACCCACTGCTACCTTCCCATGGAACCGTCCCAAGTGTCGCATCCTGGGGCCCGGCCACCAACCAGCCTGTGCTGGCTTCGGGGTCACTGCCCTACCCACGCGATTTGGGTGTTCCCTCTGGCATCAGTTCTCCACGCCACCCTCTGGCCTCTCTGGGCCCCCACATCTGTGTCCAGCCTGGGGCTGGTGGGCTCCTCTTACCTGACTCACAGGTGGGGCCCCTGAAGCCGGCCCGGCACTGGCAGCTGAAGCTGTTGACCCCATTTGTGCAAATCCCGCCATTCTGACATGGGTGTGAAGCACACTCATTCACGTCTGAAACACAGTCAGGCCAGGGTGTCAGTGGAGGACACAGGGACAGATGGGTGCCAGGGCGGCAGCACTTGCCCTCCCTGATCACTTCTGTGGGGCAGCTGCACATCATGGGGCCCAGCACCCTTCAGTCAGGGCCACAGGTCCACTGTCTGCACCTGCAGCTCCTCCTGAGTCCAGTGCAGCCTGGGCGTCCTGTCCATGGGTGCCCTGTCCCCACCTGGCCAGCAACTCACCCAGCTGGCACCTCCGCCCGGTGAAGCCTGCGAGGCAGGAGCAGGTGTAGTAGGGGTTGCCGGTGACACAGTCATCAATGCATTTGCCGCCATTGAGGCACGGGCGCAGGGCCAGGCACACGGAGGCTGTGGGCACAGGAAGGAGCCCGAGGCTCACATGCCACCTCCAGGTGGAGGTAGCAGAGCCACTTACTGTGGCTACATCTCCTTTTCCTCCTGAACCCAAAGGGTCAACCTGCAGCGCCCCCTGGTGGCAGCATGTTTATGGAGTCCCAGCCTAGGTTTGTGCAGGGGATCCCAGCATGGCTGGTGGGCTCTGCCCACCTTGGGTGACCCCCTGAGCGCCACTCCAGCTTCCCATGGAGCAGACACCCCAGAATCTTACACCCACAGTTCCTGCTTATCCCTCCCACCCTTCCCAGCTCGGCCATGGACACTTCTAGAAGCTCAGCCTGCTTGGCCACCCTGCCTGGTCTCCTCTATGGAAATGGGAGCTGGCACTCAGCTACCAAAGCTGGGGTTCCTCATGGCATCGCTGCCACCAGGGAGGGGTTGGTTCCCGGGCACCAGTCCCTGGAGAAGCAAGGCTGCTAAAGAGGCAACTCATAAGCACAGACTGGCCAAGTGTCCTGAGCACTTGGACGACTGGCTAGGAGCGCCTTAGGGCCACTCTTGAGGTCAGGCTATGGTGTCTACTGGAGTGGCTTCTACTCCTCTCTCCTTTCTTTTCCCTTAGCTATGTTGTGCCTGCTCCCCCTGCCTATGGCTTGGCCTGGGTAAGAGCCCAGCGTTCTCAGGGCTGGACTGTAGGTGGGACACCACACTCTCAGGCATGCACCCAGCCTCCTACTGGTGAGGCCCTGGTTATGTAACCTCAGAAGTTCCCTGAGAGCCTGCATAGGTGGGTGTGGCCCGGCAGGGGCTGGTCTCTGCCCCAGGCCCTGTGGGCATTGGGGACAAGCCCTCCACTTTGGGATGGGGTCCCCAGGCTCACAGCCTTGTAGCTCATTCAGGGAATGTGGCCTGTCCGTGCCTGCACTCCACCCCTCAACCACATTCTGCAAGACTCTGGCCACCAGTGGGTACCCTCACCTCTCTGCCCCATGCAGCCTTCATGAAAGTAGCCTCAGCCACCACCACTGACCACTGCCCAGGCCCAGCCCAGGTGGCCAAGCAGACGCCAGGCTGCAGGGGGGTTGTGGCTCAGCACTTCCTGCCCTTTGAGCCCCTACCTACTAAGCTCAGGTTCAAGCTGGGGGTGACTCATGCCCCAGTGTGTGGGCAGTCTGGGGCAGGCACAGGCCACAGCACTGCACTGAGTCCCCCTGCTGGGTGTATGCATCCTCCTTGGCCTCCGTGGTACCCACACTCCCCACAGCTGGTCTGGGGGTCCCCAGTGCTATTTGCTGTTTGCCGCTGGGTCCCTGTGGCCCAGCCTAAGTCAGGCTGGTGGTGAGCAGCTCTCTCAAGAGGCTGGGTGGTCGCTGGATACCCTGAAGGCCTGGTTGAGCACTGGGGTCCCAGGCTGCAGGTAATGCTGGGCCATCTGCAAGCCACAAGCCCCCAGTGTCCGAGAACCAGAGGCGACCCACTCTGTCCTCCCTTGAGCACACAAAGCTCTACATGCCAAAGCCGCCATTGCCCAGCAGATGCTTGCTGGCCTCTCTGAGGGGCCTCTCCCAGGCCCGCCCTCTTCCCACCCTGGGTCTCGCCCTTCCCATGGAGCCTCGTGCCCATCCTCTTACTTGTATGGCCGCAGCCCCCCACGCGCACCTGGGCATCATCGATTCTGAACGCCCAGCGCCCGGGCACGCCCACGTTGGTGGTGGCCTCCACTTCAGCCATGTCTGCTGTGCGTGAGCCTGGGATGTTGAAGTAACGCTGCCCATCACCCGCGTTGAAGCCGGCCTGGGGTGGGGAAGGGAGGGTGGGGGGTCTCCTCATGGTTCAGAAAACCTTGGGTCCCCAGATGGCCTTATCAGAGGGGGCCCTCCAGATGTTGGGGTGCCCGGCCAGGTCCTGACTAGTCCTCCCGAGGTTTGGGCCTCCCTCAGGCCAGAGGCAGGAGCAGTCCCAGGAAAGCAGCAGGTGGCATGATGTGAGGGCCTCCTGCCTGGTCTGCAGCTGTTGCCAGCCTGGGGCCGGGCCAGGGGTCAGGCCAGCAGGGAGCTGCCGTTAGGCCTGTGGATACTGTATGGTCCAGGCAGTGGGAAACCTGAGGGGATCTCATGCCATCCTCTGTGCAGAGCCAGGAGGCTCTGTCTAAGGTGATCCCCCATCTCAGGATAGACCTGGCAGTGGGGAGCGGGGCTGTAGCAGCCTACCTGGGCTGCAATGCCCCCTAGGCCAGTGGCATCACCCCCGCTGCTGGCGTGCGTGCCCGTGGTCCAGGTGATGGACTCGTAGTTGAAGATGGTGAAGGAGACCTTGCCATCAGTGATAAGTATGGTCTGGAATGTGTTGACCTGCCCAGGAGAGAAGGGCTGGTGGTACTGCCCTGTGTGCCCAGCGCCGACTGTCTTCCTGCTGGACAGTCAGCCAGTCAACCTGAAGGGCCTTGTCAGCCAGTGCAGGACCCACCCCACTCCCCTCATTGTTGCTGGGGCCTGGGGCGAGGGAGTAAGCGCACCGGGTAAGGGGTCACTGTCTTCATGGGATAGAGGCACAGAGAAGGGCAGTACTCACACTACCAAAACTGCAAAATCTCCTGTGTGCAGTGAGCAAAAACACTAAAAGAAAAAGGAACAGATGAAAAGGAACCAAGGAAAAGCAGGTTTTTATAGTGAGTTTTAGCCAGGCGCGTGATGGTGCATGACTGGCAGAAAGATCACTGTACTTTGAGGCCAGCCTGGGGTACATAGACTATGTATCAAAAAACCTTCTAAAAAAGTTGTTTTATGTGTTCCATGGAATTCTAGAAATCCTAGAAGAAAATAGAGGCCAGTATGTACAGCATCTCTGGGAAGGAGAAATACTTAAGTGTGATGTTTGTTAACAGAAAAATCCAAGTATATTTGTACATTTGAGTATAAAAACTTCTGAACAGAAAAAAGTGCTGCTGTAAGATCAAAGTGAATGGCAAACAACAAAGGAAAAAAGGTATTTATAATGTCTGGGCGCTATAAAGCTATTGGCATCCTTAATTCCAGAAGAACCTCTACAGATACAGAAAAGACCAAAAATATTCTAGAAAAATGGGTAAAGGATATGAACAGATACAGCACAACAGAATACAAGTAGCCAATAATATTGGAACAAGTCCATTGTCACTAGGAGTGAAAGATGTGTAGGATTATAAAAAAAGTATTTTAGCTGGGTGCAGCAGTGCACACCTGTAATTCCTGCACTCTGGGAGGCTGAAGCAGGAGGGTCAAAAACTCGAGCCCAGTCTGGGCAACTTAGTGATTTAGTGAGAGGGCTGGGGATGTAGCTCAGCATGAAGGCCCTGAAAAAAAGCAAGCAAAAGAGCATGGAGTGAAGAGGACAGCATGTTGAGCTGGCAGGAGGTGGGAGTGGGCACTTTCTGAATGGCCACACAGCCCAGGCCACCTCCAGAGGCCCCAGGGAACACTGTAGTACAGAAAGCCACTCTGGTCATGCAGTGCCCTCAGCACCTCGCATTGCCTCTGCACTGCCCAGATGAGAGACTCAGGCGCCACCCGCCTGTGCTGGAGACAAGGGGACCTCACCCCAGACATTGTTGTGTGGACACTAAGGGGCAAGCGAGGCATTGTGCTGCGGGAAGGCAGCCCTGAGCGCTCAGCTCTGCTTACCATGTAGCTCTGCTTACCGTGTGTGTGGGTGGCAGGAAGGACTGAGTTAGGGCCTCAGCTTTGAGGGCAACAAGTCAATGTGTGAAGTGTGCTTGTCTGCTTCCTGTCAGTGAACCTGGCCAGGCTGGGCCTTTAAGCACATCCAGCGCTGCCTGTTACGTGGCTGTGTCTGCTCCCTCACTGGTGTGTGCCCTGTGGCTGGCCTCTGCCTGTTTGCTCTGACCAGTCTGTCCCAGTGCCCAGGACAGTGCCTGCTACCCAGAGGTCGCTTCACTGAAAGTGAACAGAGGGCTCTGCATGGGCTGCCTATACTTGCCCTCTACTCTGGGAGCTGGCATCAGCCCAGGTGGGGGTGGCCTGGTACAGGCACAGGCTTGGGCATCAAGGAAGCCAACCCACTGTGTCCACCAGGCTGGACAGCACTCTTACTCCCATGTGGGCTTGCCTACTGCCTGGCATCAGCCAGGAGAAAGGCACTGGGAGAGAGCAGAGCCCCTCCCATGCCGAGCCACCCCAGGGGGCTCTCCCAACTCCCATCTCCCTAGGTGTGTGCCACCACTGTGGGCATCGGGTTTCACCAAGGGCTGGAGAGTGTGAGGCTCCTCTCGCTCTGCCTCAGCCCTGTAATCTCAGCCAAATGACATGGGTGGGTCCCCAGGCCTCTCCCTCTTAGGTGTGGACACAGGGTCCTGGCCAGACCTCCCCCCTGCCAGGCCCAACAGCTGCACTCACAGGGGAGGAGGAGCTGCCTCCAAAGAAGGTCACTCGGTACCACGTGGCGACAAAAACCCAAGTGGCCAAGAAGTCCAGGAGCTCGGGGAAGTAGCGCCTGATGTCCTCGGTGGCTGTGTGCAGAATGGCCGGGTCGGTGGCCTCCCGGTAGTACACGTCACCTGCACGCCGGTTGTCCACATCTGCCCAGAAGGCTGCCACCACGCAGCGGTCATTGGCAATGGGGAAGGCCACGGGTGTGAACTGAGAAACCTCCTTCAGGAAGGAGATGATCCCGTTATTGTTTACCTGCGGGCAGGAAGCCAGAGGCAGCTGGGCTGGGCACTGTGGACAGATTTGCATTAAATACATAGTCCAGGCCCAACTCTGTGGTGCTTGGCTAATACCAGCTGCCATGGTCTGAACCACAGTGTCCCACAAATTCATGCTTGAAGTCCTTATCCCCAAGATGATGGAGTTAGGCAGTGATTAGGTTGTGGGGGTGGAGTTCTCATGAATGGGGTCTGTGCCCTTGTAAAAGAGCCCAGAGAGCTAACACAGTAACAAGACTATCTAAGAGCCAGTCCTCCCTGGTCACCGACTCTGACAGTGCCTTGATCCTGGGCTTCCTGTCTCCAGAAGGGAGAAACAAACCCTGTTGTTGATAAACTGCCCAGTCTGAAGCATTCTGTTACAGGGCCTCAAGTGGACTACAACAGCAGCACTGAATCACTAGGTGCTGGGTGCTGGGTGCTGGGTGCTGGGCAGTGCTGAGTGTGGCCATGGCCAAGCATGGACTCCAGGTTATGCGTATCTGCTGTTGGGGAGAGAGGGGTCAGAACTGGGCCTTCAGTGAAGGTGCTGGGCCTCCCTTAGGTGACAGTGTGCTGTGACGTTCAGCTCCTCAGGCCACCAACAGAGAGCTGGACACAAGGGCGCTTCAGGTCTTGCAGGTGAGGACCACCTTACCCACATACCACGGGAAACTAGATAGCCACAGACAAGCCTGCAGGTGGACCCTCACTATACTATGGACAAAAATAAAACAAGAAAATAAAAACAACCAAATATCTAACAGTCAATCTAAGAGAAGATGTGCAAGACTGCACAGTCAACTTTCAAACATCACTGGAGTTGCGGAAGGTGACTTAAATAAAAGTAGAAGTGCACGGTGTCTTTGGACAGTCTGGTGGTGGCTTGGCAGGAATGTGGGTGGTGGCCCAGAGCAGGGTCCACCTCAAAGAGGTGACACAGGGCTGGTGGGGTGGGCTGCAGGGGCCTCAGCTGGGCACCCCCTGGGTCTGCTCAACATTTGCTGTTCCTTGTGCATTTAAGTCAAAAACCCTTGTCTGAACTGTTAGAGGCCGCAGACGGGAAGGCATCTCTGCATGGGAAAGGAGCCATGTCCACATCTGCTGGGCCCCTCTCATGAGGTCCCTGGGGCTGACACAGCCATCTGCAGGGCAGGCCCTCCCTGCACTGACCTTCCTGTTTCCCTCCATGCCCTACCCCATGCCCCACCCACTAGCTGTCCCGCCTGCCCCTGCTGGCTGTGGGCAGTGTGCACCTAGCCTCTGGCCCACCCCACTGCTGCTGTCCTGCCTGGGCTGGGCCAGGAGCCTGGGGGTCCAGGAAGGAGGCAGAACAAGCCAGCCCTGTTCCCCTGCCAGGATTGGGCAATGCTGGGACCACAGTGGAATGGACAGTGGGGCCCAGGCACTCAGCTGGCAGGCTCCCTCACCTGGGCAGGAGCCTCCTGGATGTCCTCCCTCCAGATGAGACAGCAGGGCGGTGGGGCAGGTACTCAGGGCAATGGAACAGCCCCTCTCCACCCAGTACTGGGTCTTTCCCCTTCTCCAGTCAGCTTTACTGATTTGTATCTTTGCTTGAAACAGCACTTTGTAAATCATGCAGCCCAGATATGGAGAACCATATCACAGTGAGACTGTGTCCCCCATTGGATGCCCCATGGAGAGGCAGGATGGGTGCCGGGTGCTGTGAGAGGAGCTGTGTTTAATGCCCAGCCCTGACCTCCAGAGTCACCTTGCTGCTGCCTTCACTGCCTGGCACCTCAGAATCCTGACCAGAGCCTGGGTATTCATTGGAGTCCAGGGCCCCAGGCCAACCCTATGGGGCATTTGAAGAAGCACAAGCTGCCCCAGGGGACCTGCTGCCCCAGGCAAGCAGGGAGGGAGGCTATGCTCATGGCCACAGGCTGGGGACGCTGGGCTCAGCACCCCAGTCCTCCAGGCCGCCCCGTGGGCACCTTCCTGTTTCCTCCACCCGGCTAAGTACCTGCTGCTGAGAAGGAGCTGTCACCAGATGACACAGCCCAGGGTCCACGACATGAGTCCCTAGAAGGGCTCTGTATACAGCAGACAGGGCCTGGCGAGGTGGTGGGGACTGCAGTCCCTGGGCAGCCCTCCCTTTGAAGGCTTCAGTCATAGCCAGCTAGTCTCTTGGGGCCTCTCAGGGAGGAGTGTCCTGTCCCCTCTGAGAGGGTGCAGCTCAGCTGCTCTGCTCCATTGGGAGGCCCCAGGCTATAAGCAGCAGGAAGCTGCAGTGGCTTTGTGAGCACCAAGGTTGTTGGTAGAGGCGGGGAGGTGCAGGGAGATGGTGCTGGTGGCATTTCTGAGGTGGATGCAGCCAAGCAAGTGTGGAAAGCCCTGGCAAGTTCCGGAGGCAGGCATGTTATGGGCCCTGTGCCTGCACCTGGCTGGCCTGGACCCTGAAGCAAGGGCTGGCGGTGGGGAATGTGAGGGGGTGTAGGGGTTGTTGGAAAGGGACTGGGTCCCCCAGTGGCCTCGGAAGGACCCAAGGAGCCAAAAAGCAGCGTCCAGCTCTGCAAATGTAGATCAGATGGGCGTTGCCTCAGTTCCTGGCTTTGATTCCTCTGCCAAAAACCAAACAATAAAGCCCCTGAGGCATTTTATAAGCTTGTTTTGAAAAATGTACGTATGCCTTTTATTTCCTGGCAGCTTTCTGGGTATTAGGATTCCTCCCGCAGGCACAGTGAGGGCTGGCATCCTGGGTAGCAGGCAGGTAGGGTCTGGGGAGCCCCCTTTATGTCCAGCCCTTCAGGAGGGGCTGGCTCTGGCTGAGGAGCTGCACAGTGGATGCAGAGGGAAGACAAGAATCATCAAGAGTCCCAGTGACCCTGAGAGGGTGGGGGGCAACCTCTGGGGCTCTCTGGGGGACCTCTTGGAGGAGGGTTGTTGGGGAGGTGGGAAGGTTGTTGGGGAGGTGGCCAGCCCTGCTCTTCCTCTCAGCTGTGTCCTCTCTCCTGCCTTCTGGTTCCCACAGCAGCTCTGTTTTTGGCCCTGATCCTCAGCCTGGGCCAGGGTGGACCTAGCCCCCCATGTCCTGTGCCTTGCTGTCCTCAGTATCCTTGTGCAGGCACTGCTCCTACCTCACTGTACCACTGGCCAGGTGCACTTTAGCGGCAGCCCCATGTTGCAGGGTGTCCATGCCTCCTCTGCCTCCACTTGACCTTATGCCCCCAGCCTGGCTACGTTTCAGAGGGAGGGGCCTCCTGTAGCCACCTCCCTCTCTGCAGCCACCCAGGCCCTGGACCCTCTAGGCTGAGCATGACATGTCCTGTACCCACACACACCTGGGACCCTCATCTGCCACTGGATCCCTGGGGACAGTGGCCACTCTCCTCTGGGCCCATCCCAGCACTGGGAGGCCTCTGGGCTCCTGTGCCTGCTCCACTCCCCACCCTGCCTGCTGCCCACTCTGGGCAGCAGGGAATGGTGGGCAAAAGTCAGGTTCAGGGCCTGAGGTGCTGCACCTGACCCTCAACATGGCTCTAGATGAACTCAGAGGACACATACATGGGTCAGCGTCACAGTGGGAGTCAGGGCTGGGGCCTGTGCTGACTCTTTCCAATTCCCACTCACCCAGACTGCACTGCAGAGCCCAGAGGAGGCCGAGCAGGCAGGAGGTGATTCCAACAGACCTGGCTGGCTGAGTGAGTGGCTTGCTGACTCAGGCTGGGCGCGCAGCATGCCAGAAGAGAGTGCAGGTGCCCTCTGGGTGCAGGAGACACTAGGGAAGCTTGCTGCACACCTCCCAGAGAATTATCTTGGAGGAATTTCAGTCTAGCAGGGCGACAACAGAGCCCTGCATGAAAGCATCCACAAGACAGATGTGCACCTCACCTCATTAATTCAGGGGAGGGGTGGGTGCCAAGTTAGCAGCCAGTGATGGCTTACGCCTGTTATGGTGCAGCTACAGGGTAGAATATTACGTTCTTGTTACAAGCATGTTGACACAGCAAATTTAAGGCACGGGCAAACACTGGCAATAGAAATCTGTATGAATGGCAATCCCAAGTTTGTTTTGTAAAACTCTAAACAGCTCAAAAACAGAGAAGGAGGAAAGGCACCAAACATTGGAGGCCTGCATTTCTGGGTGGTGGCATTAATGGATGCGACGTTGCAGTGATCAGACAACGAACACCAAATATGCAGTGCTGCTTCTAGGAGCTAGCGCTGTTCTGGGTGCCCAGAAGCACAATGGATGGAAGAGGCCAAAATTACTTTAATGCTAAAAATAAAAGTCACAGCTGCTGATCAGACCCTGGCTCGCCAAGGCCTCTGGAGGCTGCATGGGGAGGAGGTGATCCAGGCAGCTGGTGAGAGGGAGCCCTTGGGGAGGACACAGCATGACAAGCCAGCTACGTCCCGCTGAGAACATCCCATTTCACACTGTCACCTGGAGTTGTCGGCCGGCACGTGTGCGGCCAGGGCGCTCTGGGGGTTCCCGCAGAAGGCACTGGCTAGGGCCTCCCATTGGGCAACTTTATGTGTTGATGCAATGTCACACTTACGTGAGAACTGCAAGAGCTCTGCAAAAACGCCCGTGTGTTCTCTTGTCACACCAGCATGTGCCTCACTGGTCACTCCTCCCTCTCCCCTCCCTCGCTTTCACCCAGCACACTTTATTGTGCATTTGCCACGAGCAAGGACACTTGTGTAAGCAGATAAGCTTGCACAAGTGCCCAAAGCAGGACAGCTAACAGTGACACAGTGGTGAGAGCACTGTTCTCCCCCATTTACATGTTTAATCATTTATTCACTATGTCAGTGTGACTGCATGGACTCCTGCTCCATTTACTGTCACCACCATTATTTACTCTAATGCTCATTGTTCCAGAGTGAGCCAGTGAGCCCCCTTCTGGTGGCCTCTGTGTCCTCTCGACACCTTTCCCTTCTCTGAATCTTCCCCACCATATGGCACAGGTGTACTTTCCAACTACACTAAAACCTTGGAGACTTTGGTCTGTTCAGTGGAGACTGGTGGTCAGCATCAGCTGAGCACTCTAAGAGCTCAGTGACAATGGGGCACCGCTTTCCCTCCTCTCGGGACAGAGCCAGGAAATAGCTCAACCTACTGCTCAACAAACGGCTGCATTCTACGCGGTGCATTGTGGGTGATTTAGTCATCGAGGAAATGCTACAGCATGTACCCACATGCCAATCCCTCACCCCAGGCTGCTGGTGCCAGCGGGAGACACAGTGCACGTGGATGAGCGTGCAAGGCTGTTGCCAGTGCCTGGCTGTACAGGAATTTTATTTTATTTTCTAAGTCAACAGAATCCATCTAAAAATAACAACAACAACAAAAAAGTATAGCACAGTACATACATAGACTGGCAACATGGTTTTTATTTTCAAAATCCAGCACTGTGCACAGTGCATGACTGCATGTGCTATTGTTTTTAAGGAAGGCAGTGCAGGAGGTTTGCTTATACCATCACCACCATAAACACACAAACATGCTTGCACTAGAAGCTGCAAAGGCTCCACACTAGCAGGTGATGGGAACTTCTCAGCTCCAGGGCATTCTTAAGGAGCACAGTGCACACTAAACTCTCCATCAGGCTTTCACACGTGTGCGAGTGTTCTCTGGATCCAGTCCCAGCCCAACCTGACACAAAGCCACTGAAGGGCCCTCCTGTGCCTCCTCCTCTCCATGTCTGCAGCTCTGTCTTCCACAGGAGGCTCACATGCCCTCCATGCTGCTCAGAGTTCCAGAATCATGCACCTGTCCATACCACTGTGAAAATACAACTACCTTTGGATATATGCTTACCGGTCTTTTTAATTTACTTTGCAGGTACACAGTCAAAGATTTTATTAAAAATTACTTGCTAAAATTATAAACAGTAAAGTAGGCAACAATTATAAACTATTATAAATACTAAAAATACTTTCAGAATGGAGCAGGGAATGGTGGTGCATGTCTATAAATGATAGCACTTGGGAGGCATAGGCAGGAGGATCACCACAAGTTCGAGGCCAGCCTAAATTACATAGTGAAACCCTGTAAAAAAAAAACCAAAACAAACAAATACAAGTTCAGAATATAAAAGAAAACAACACAAGGAGGAAAGAAACAAGAGACACAGAAAAGATCTAAACTGCTATAAAAAACTGACATAAAAATATAGGGAAATGAACAGGA